TAAGATGAATTATGTGGCTATTTTCTTAAAAAATCGTGATTTTATTTAAAAATAGCCGATTCAATATGGCCAATTAAAACGTCATTTTATTGAAAATTGTTAAAATTTGTTTAATTAAAATGTAATTTGGTATAAATGTTATTGGACGATGTATGGAGTTTAATACGCACCGCGCGCAAAGCGTCATTTTTTTTGAAAATTTATTTTTTATCAAAAATTGTTAACATTTGTTTAAAATGTAAATTGGTATAAATGTTATTGGAAGATGTATGGGATCCAATGCGCAGCGCGCGCGAAGCGCGCGCCTGTTATGTACTAGTAAACTTATAAAACATAATTAATTTATAAAAACACGGAAGAAGTATTATATAAAAAAGTTTTTACAGATTAAATAAAATAATTGATGTTGGATGCTAAAATAATACAATGTACTAATTTTGTAATAAAATAATTATTGTAGTAAATATATAAACCTGTGCGATTTTATTAATAACTATATTAACAAGTGACAAATCTTATTAGTCAATTAATCTTTAAAATTATTATAAAATTATAGAAAAATTCTAACTATAACTCATTAAAAATTTATTGTCTTTTTTAGCTAAATATCTCAAATATTTATGTATTAAATATCATTACTAATTGTAGTATGTTGCATTATGAGATATGACGTACATTTTAACACATGGTATCGATCTTGCTGTTAAATTAAAATTTATCTAGCCTTAATTTATATTATAATTATTTAAATTGATAATATCGAACACATTTTTTAATTCAAAGTTGCAAGTATTGGTTGCGAGCATGAGAGCTATTGCTAATGATTAACCAATTCACAGCCCGAAGGAAGTAAGGAATCGAAGAAAATGAGGTTGGCGGCGAGGTGGCGCCCTCTCTTCGAGGCCTTCGATCGTGACCCTCCTGTCCTCATTGAACCAGTGCTTCTTTATCTAGCACACAGGTTTTTTTGTTCTTATACAAAGTCATTATTATGATGTCTATAGATTTCAAACGAATTATTTTGATTTTTACTGTGTTTAGGAATAATGTATTTCTAAAAAATCAGTGTATATAGCACATAATTAGGCAATTAAAAAGAATATTATACATATGATAAGAAATTAAATAATTTATTTAATCTAATTCAATATTACAAATATAACTTATGCCAAAATTCAGCTTATGTTAATTATTGTAATTCTGTTGTCACTAAATAGTAGTGATTTTCAAAAAAATCACAGATTTCGCATAGGCGAAAATAAATCTTTAATAAATGAGTCAATTTTGATATTAGAATATTAGAAAATAGAATGTAGATAATTTGCAGATACTCCGTTTCTAGAAAAGAAATTACATCGATACTCACATCTATCGAAGCTTATTTTAAGTTTATGTTATCGCTTTTCTACGATATCGATTAATTCTTTTATTATGCTTGCTTCAAGAACGACTGTTATCACATATTTTGATAGTGTGTATCGAGGAGATAATAATGTAGTACAATGTAATTATAAGCATTTAAACGTTAAATAGTGCGCGCGTAGTACATGTGTTTGTGTCCATATAGAGTATTTAAAAAAACTTTCCTATCATAGTTTAAATGTTTTTTCAAACTTACGTTGTAACGCAATGAGAATATTTGTCGGAGAAAATCATGATATAACTTTGTTTTTTGCTTGCCTTTTGTATTCCTCTTTGAATTCGGCCAAAAACACTTGACTCTTCGAGAACAACACTCATTTTTCTTAGAGGCATTTCCAATGGAAGCGAATATTTGAATTGTGTATTTGTCTTGAATCCTCTCTCTCTATGCAGGCTTTGTTTTAGCTGGTAACAATGTCTTCTATATTTGCAAAATATTTGTAATTATTAGTGTTATAAGGAAAATATTATTATTTTTATTTTTTTGTTAGAAACATTGTTAAAACAATGTTAATACTTTAATTTTTGTTATTTATTATTTTTTATAATTTTATATTTTATATTTTGTAAATAAAATCCGTTGTATAGACGCTTTTAAAATTTATACCTGATCATATAAATTAAAGATTCGAAAATCTGGAGATTAACTTCATGCTTTTATTTCAAGAAAATTGTTGATAATTTTTTTTATTTTAACTAGAATTAGTTTGAATTATAATTTTTTAAAATAAAGTTTTGAAGATTATTTAAAACCTTCTAAAAAAAATTCTAAATTATTGAAGAAATTTTCTATTATAAATTAGAATTCGAGAAATCGATTTTTAGAAATCTTTAGAAATTTTTGAGAAAGTGCTAATGTATCAATTATATTAAAATAGAAGTACATAAATTTCGTAAAAATTAGAGAAGTATATTATTAATTAAAAGTATAAATATATTTTATTTTTCCAATATTATTGAAATGAGATCGTTAGTCATATAAAACAATTTCTAACGCAAATAATTTTGATGATTTTAAAATAATGTATCCCACAAAAGTTCTCATAACAATTTCTCAATGAATCCTCCTAAAGTTTTGATATTTGCAATAGAATAAAAGATTGCTTGTGTTATAATAGAATTATAAAATTTTGCAAATTTATATATCGCAAAAAAACATTTCACACAAAAATATAATGGATATTACAAATTCTAGTCAATCTTACGTCGCAGATCTTTTTTGCAAGATCAATAAGAAAAAAATTGATATATTATAAAGAAAAATTGTTAGTACATTATTCTTAATAGAGTCAAAATAAATATCGCATTTCGTTTGTGGCTAGTCGCACTCACAACTTTTCACCGAATCGAGCTTGCGTAAATTACTGAGTTTCGTGTCGCGAGTTTATGTGTCAGCGGGTCACGTGCATCCCCTTGGCAATGAAAGGGTTACATCAGGCATGGAAATTATTCGCGGTTATTGCTACATCTTATAATTACAACAAGCATTTTTTAACTATAAGATGGTCAATGTTTGGTTTATCATCAGATTACAAAACCGATAGGATCCGTATTCTGGCATCAGTTTCTCTTGGCGTCATTGGTCAGCTGAAGGAGAGACGACGCGTTGCGGCGGCCTAGAACTAGAGAAAAAGGGCGAGACAACGCGGGGGTTGCGCGCCGCGACGCGCTGTCGTGAGTGGGGATATGGTGTTTCTTCTTTCGGGGGTAGTCAGCGCCGCCACGGCATCATGCAGGGTGAGTTTCAGTCGCCACTCGGTCATCTTGCCGAACGGGTGGATTCGAGGAATCGATTTATTCGCGCGTACGCGCTCCTCACACGAAATCTCGTACTTGAATTTTTAACTTTTTCCTGCTGTCTCTGAGCCTTTAGAAAAGGGTTGCTCTTCTTCGATTCGCAGAAAATTGTTATTTGAACACAGTGTTTTGATCTCTGTTCCGTCATCAGGATATACGTATCGAGTGCGATTTGTGCACAATTTGTGTATGAGAACGTGGTGCTGCAACCGGTCAGCGCGCGTGCACCCTACGACGATCGATCGACTCGGGATACGATACGATCCAGAGAGAAGCGATGGACGAAACCACTCTCCTACGAGACAACAGATAGAGAAGGAATCCGAGAATAAGGAACAACAATATACGTGCTACCGGTATGCGATTTTACAGCGAGATCTGATTGTTCGATTTGCTTCAACTGCTCCGCGATTGTGCCTGATGCGCCGGCTTGACATTATAAAGCTTATCGAGAGGCAAGCTATAACGGCCGTGCCGCGTGGTGTGTGACCTAGCTCGAAACGATCGTTCTTGCTTGCTCCCGAGTTGCTGCATAAGGCTCAAAAATTTATCGCGTGTTCCGTAATCATGATCCTTGAGAAATATAAGTATCGCCAAAATCCATCATCTGTCAATTAAAGATTTTATATCGAATATACCAATTCGACGATAACACTTTGTTCTTATATTAATATATTGGAAAATATATAGGAAAACAGGAAAAGAGCAGAGAGGAAGTGTAAGAAAGTAAATAGAATTCTTAATCATAATCTGAGAAATAATGAATGTGTTATAATACACGAAGAACCTGTATATTCTTTCTCTCTCTCTTTCTCTTTTTAAGTCTTAATTGATGCTTTCTTGCTTGCGAATCGCGTTAAATTATGTCACAGCAAAATAATCATAGAATTATGATATTGACAAAGCCATCCTATTGTTAACGAGACTGCAAATAATTAAAATATTTAACAAACAGAATATTCTCTCAAGAATTGTTGACTAGTTTAATGAAAGTTTAATGAAATATTGATATTTCTTTGATAATCTTAATATCTCTTTGACCATATCAATATATAAAATGTCGGAACGACATATACAAAAGTACAGAGATTTAAGATATATTATACTAATATTGATTGCCATAGCTCACGAAAGATTGTCTATTGTTTACTGATCTTGTTTGATTCATGCTTGATTGTCAAGCTAGTGATCATGTCATGTGTTGCACATTCGATGAATTTTAATGTTGTTTACGCTATACCAGAAATTACATCGAAAATAAGTAAAACGATTAAAGCAAGATAATAAGCAACTATTACAACAACTTGATAAAAACGAGGATGTTTTATCATTATGTAAATATCTTTATGCATTATTATTATGCATTTCTTTCGCGTAAACGCCGCGCCAAAGAATAGGAAATATTTTCCATTTAAAATTGAGATAATGATTTTTTAGCATCTTGATATTAGTATACGATGTATTTTCCACCGATTTTTGTTTTTGTCAGCTTTTGAATATGTATATATACACACCCACACACAAATTCATGATGTATTTAAACGATTGAACGCGTTGAATTGTGGCAGCTTTTAGTCAACGGTTTTATGGAAACGGTAGAAGCAACATTTAGTTTTGTCGATTGTCGACGATTGAGTCATCTCAGTTTTATTTCGCAGAGACAGCATCACGATGATGAACAACAGAACACAAGACTAGTGCGGTTCTTATAATGCTGCACTTCTTATAAATTTATTTAAGCTTGTCTTAATAGAGAAATTTTGTTTAGAAAGAAAATAAAAAGATGCTCATCATTATTTATGCATTTTAATGCGTGCAATAAACTTTTTATTTTGATTGTTGCTAAACGCAATTGAACATTTCTATTTTGTATTTTCGTACTTTACTTATAAAAATTAATTAACGCATATAATTTAATTATGATGACAATTGATACTCCGTTTGTATTTGTTAATTGATTTTGTTCTGATTTTTAATAGTTTTTAAATTTATTATAAAATTGCTATTTTACAATGTAATTGACAATTAGTACGCGATTGCATTCGTAATATTAATTAAACTTCAGCACAATAATTAAATTATGCTTATAATTCGAGACGTTTAGTAACGGAAATTACTGATTGCTGTTAATAATAGTACCTGTCTGCTAATGTGGAAAGTTATCATGATATTCTTACGTTCCTATCCTTTTATCGAGTATGCAGGGATCAGAACGCATCATATAGTCGATTGCGTTTGAATAAGAAATCTCTCAATCTTGCCCTCCAAGAAAACACGGAAGCTAAAGGTACTTGCTACTCGCTAAGTTTCATCAATTAGAGGTGTTATGTTAAGCTCTGATAGTTTAACATTCTCGAAATCGATCGACGGTAGCTTGTAATTCATTGAATGTTACAAGTACCTACTGCATGATGTCGATAATATACTAATAACCTATTATTGAGTTAAGTTTCGTTTAATGTATATCACGTTATTATATGATTAATACAATCTAAAGTTACTCTTTGGATTTGATAGAATGTACTTTTTTTGCATGTTCTTTAAATAGGAATAATGAATTAATTATAATTTGAAAATTTGTAGTTGCGGCTGAAAAAGATTTTAGCGAAACGTCGAAACGTTCCGCTTTAATACCGAATGAAATTATATAATTGTATTGCAGTATTTTTGTTTGCTCGTTTGTTGACCTTCATTTCGCTAATTTCTATTTTATTCTAAAATACGAGCCAGTATTTTTTTTGTTAGAAAAGAGCGCGAATCAAAAGACAGCTTCTCTAAAAAATTGTAGCATTCTTTTGAAAATATATCGCTAAAACGATAGGTTGCAGGTTGAGCGAAGGTTGTTTCTAATTTTTTTATTTCTTTTTCTGTATATTAATCATGATGATAAGTTGACGAAAGAAATGCAATGAATTGTTTGACTACATTCGAATGAGAATGTAAGAAGAATTAATGGAGATAGGTAACATTCGATGCCCTTAAATACGTCCCTTAAATACGAAATTAAGGAAATTTGTGATTTAATCGAATCTATGTGAATCAGTGATTCGTGAAAATTCGTAATGGTTGAAATGTTATTTCTCGCAATACTAATTTCTTGAGATATAATAAAATAAAATATGAATTTATTCTACATGCCAATATCCATATTAATTTCGAATTAATCTATTCTTTCTTTTGTGGATTTTTCTTAATGCATATAATAATATTATCTTTTAAAGTTAAGTTAGGAGATTACTAATTCTTCAACATAATTTTAAATATTATTACTTTAGTACAAATATTTACATTACTGGATAAAAATTACTACAGAGTAACGTTCGCGTATTATATGTACATACATGTATGTATGTATATAAAATATATGAAATGCAAACAATTCGTGTATAAACGATTTATATTTATAATGTAATTGCATTTGTTGCAAGTGATTGAAAGCACAAAAATTTATTGAAAGTGGAGGCAGTGGAATTGAATCGATTTGACTAATTAAAAAAAAAAAACAAAATAGATGAACTGCTTAGGCTTTCATTCAGTTTCTATTGATTGATTAAGCGAGGAAAATTTTCACAAACTTTTTCGGTCAATGTTTTTGTTTACCCTTTACTGTTGCACTAACTTTTTTTTTATACAAAGAAATGTTTTCAATTTTATCTTTCGCGTTTTATCATCTATCCGTTACACACTATTGATTTAATTTTATAAGTTTTAACATAGTATGTAATATCTATCATATTAGTTGTTAAATTCAACTGTTGTTTTTTTTCCTCTCATTATTGATGTAATTTATTATACTATAAGATATTTTTATCAATTTTTCTTTATATTGTATCTAAATCTATAATTTAAATCTATAACTTTGATCTAAATATAATAGATAATTTTATTATGTGTTTTATTTAAATTAATATCTATAATAACAATATATAATATATTAATGTCATATAATTAATTTTTATAATTTTACTATATATATATATAATATATATATGTGTGTGTGTGTGTGTGTGTGTGTGTGTGTGCGCGCGCGCGTGTGTACGCACAAAGAAATAACCGCATGTAAATCGATGAACAAAATTCTCCGACGAGTTTCGAGATACTCGCAGCATGGAAGCGCCACTTATTTGCATAAAAATTGATTTAGACTCGGTCGTCCAAATGAAAAAAGATACGGAAGTAGATATTCCCAGATTCGTCACATAAATCTCTTTTATTTTAGAACGATCGATATTCTTTTTTTATTTTTATGATCTTATATTGATTACTTTAATATCTTACGTGCGTGAATTGATTAAATTAACATCTTATTTCCTAACGTACTGATCTACGTCTAGCATGTATTCGATTACTGATATGTAGAA